TGTTGCGGGGGGGGGGGGGGGGGGTGTGTGGCTCGCTAGGGATCGCTCGAAACCGTGGCTTTTCGTGACAAACATTGGGTCGGGAAAAACGGGCCGATAAGGCTGATTAACTGATTCTTCCTCTCGAATCCGATTAACTTTTATCCAACCTCTTGATTTACGAGCGGACGCGATTTCGCCGTTTTTATCAGCAAGCGTATTAACTACTCTGCGGCTAAACGATGCTTCACCGCCCTCGCTCGTTAAAACCTTTTATACATAACAATTACTAATATTTTAATTTAGAAGAAGAAGAAGAAGAAGAAGAAAAAAGAATAATATAAAATACATAATAAATAAATCAAAACAACAAAAAGAGCTTAAACAGTTTTCATTTTTTTTTTCTCTGACAATGCAGCTTGTCGTGGGACGACTCGCGACCGGTAAGTAACCAATACTAATGCCAATCATCATAAGCCAAGTAAGCCTAGAAAAAAAGAATGCACTCACCCGGTTAAAAGAAATCACCAAAAGCTATTTTAATGCACGATTATTAAGAAAAAAACGAAGAAAAAACGAAAGAAAGGTAAAAAAAAAAAATGGGAAAAAAAATCAGTCAGGAATGATAATAGTACAGAGGCAGAAGGAATGAGCGAAGGGGATGAGGGATGCGAGGAAAAGGTAGATAGTCGTAAGTCACGTATCGCGTGGTGCTTAAAATTACGTTCCATCCCTTTTCGCTCGTTTTCTCTCTCTCTCTCTCTCTCTCTCTCTCTCTCTCTCTCTCTCTCTCTCTCTTTCTCCCTCTCGTCAATTCACAAAAATATCTACCGCGCGCACGAAAACATACCTTGAATAGAAAATTCTATAGGAAAGAGAAAGCAAATTATATTTAATTTTCCTTTTATTCGAGTTAATGCTGGCACGAGAATTTTGATAAATTGTTTCGGGATTTCATTATACATAAAATATTGCCACATTAGCAGGTTATTACGTCGAGTTTAAAGCAAAGATTTGGCAATCATTGCCAAAGTAAAAAAACTGAAAAATGAATGTAATTAAATGCTTAGATTTAATTGGGCTTAAATTTAGATTAAACATTAGAAATTATGGATTAATGGGTATTTGGGAGGGGATTTTTCAGAAAAGAAATATTATTTCAATGGTAAAGCGATGATTTTTAGCCATCCATATAACCTCCGTATAAAGTAAAACTTTTTCACTATTTTGCACTTTTCATTGCGCGTAATTTAAAATGCTTTTGGATTTTCTTATTTATTTTACATCACCGGTATTGTATCTTCCTTAGCTGGAATTTCATAATAAACGTTTTGAATATTGAAATTCTATAACGCTAAATCTTCATACAATCTTATATATTTGAAAGATTATCGAGGCACGTCCCAAGTTTTCCATACATACGCGAGCGCGCATAGGCGCATAAGCGCACGCACGTACGAACGTACGCGCGCACTCACGCACGTACGCACATACGCACGCACGCACGCACGCACGCACGCACGCACGCACGCACGTAAACAAAATATCAAATGCACAGCCAATGTTTGTGATTTAAATTACTTTCTGATGATACTCTGCCGTATTAATTGAATCTTTATTCTTTTTTTTTTTTCACCCATCGAGTATGCTGATGACTTAAAAAATATCCTCGATCGATGATTAACAAAATTCCATAACGCTCGATTGATTGCATTGTGATTGGTGACGATCACACAAAGAGAAGCATCGCTTACGCTCAATAAAAATCTTAAACAGCTTTGAATAAATGTCGAGCTAGCAAGTTAACGAGCAACATTGTTATTATTGGGAAGCAAGAATATTAATGAAATTTCTCGAAATATAATAAATATATAACGTGGAATATAAATAAGACTGAAATAATAACGTTAAATGCATTAAACCCATTTACAATTTGTCTCGAACTTGTTCAAGTAGAATAAGACGCGCAGATAGCCGCGTTTTAAAAATACATTTCCCATGTCGCTTAAGCAGCGGCTGGAGAAAATGACGTCCCGCGAGTCGAGAAAATGATCTCGCGCACCTCGGTTTCCTACGAACGCATCTCGAACCCCGTCGCGTCCCACTTGCCGAGGTCCTCGGCAAATTTTGAAGACAGTTAAAGGGAGCCTGGCTGACGGATTGTGCTTGACACGGTGTTCGCAGGCTGCAGAACGCCAGGGACGTCGCAAGCGGGAACGCGAGGCCGGCGCAGGTGCCCACTTCCAGGGTGGCTGCTGTCCCCCAAAGCTCGCACTTATCTAGCCCAGGTTCCAGCCTGGCAGCCGGCAACTCCCCCGAGACGACCTAGTCAACTGCCAGCAGAGCCAACAACAGCATCATAAGCAGCGGCAACAGCAGCACCAGCAGCACCAGCAGCACCAGCAGCACCAGTACCATCATCACCATCACCACCATCATCATCACCATCTTCATCACGAGGGCATCCTCGAGCTATCCTCGGCGATACGTAGACAGACGGCCGCCGGCCGTACCTAGGGCACTCGACTCTCCGACGCTGTCTCGTTCGCAGCCGGATATTAACCACTTTTCCGTCTACTTGTCAGCGATCGAGCCGTCTTTATCTACTCTACTCTCTGAATTTTTACGAACGAAGGCTCCGCGAATGACATGATACTCTCGGGGTCGGCTTACCTCGAATTTTCATTTTCTCGATTTCTGCCTTCGGTGTCCTCGCTTACTCCTTGAATGTTGTTGTCTCGTCGGTGCAGCGTTACGGCAACAGAGTTGCGCCCAACGATTCATTCATTTTCAATTCTTTGTCTGGAAAAGGGAAAGATGCTATCCCGAGGACAATTCCGTAGCTCCGTGTTGTTCGTTTGTTTGGAAAATGACGGGGAAAGAGCCTTCGTTTAAATTCGATAAATTTACGTAAAATGTCGAAAGTCCGGGGATATACTTTATGCACCTTACAACATGTACGACCAAAATTGAGAGAGTAACCGTTTATAAAGATGGATTTTCCCGTTTTTCGCTCAAGTACTTTTTAATGACTTCTTCACTATGATATAGCTTACTTCGAGATTCGTCAACTATGAACTTCGAACCTCGCAATATATTCGAAGGGATGAGTCCTAATTCAATTTCTCATTATTCATGTCTCAACGTAACATTTCTTTATAATTGTTGTCGTGGCTCAACATTATTTCGACGACTTTAACAATTCATTTATTTATTCGCCTCCTTTGCAATTCTTATGTATATTTCTTTATTTTTTTTTTTTTTTTTTTTTTTTTTTAAAAAAAATGTTTTTTTTTTTTTTTTTTTTTTTTTTTTTTTTTTAAACAAAATGATGTTATTTTCATTAATGTTTGTTGAAACTAATACATTAACGATGATGGATCGATTGATTGGTGCAAGAGTTTATAGAAGCTCGAGAAATCGATCGGTCCCTCACTAAAAAAACAAAAACAAAAAACAAAAAAAAAAAACAAAAAAAAAAACAAAAAAACAAAAAAAACAAAAAAAAAAACAAAGAAGCGTAATTATAATGAGACTTTGAATCGTGGTGAGCAGCAACTGATTCATGCAACGTGGCGTAATTTCTTATTAATTATATTTTAAGTAGTTGATATGTAACGAAACCGTGAACGTAACAGTCACGAGTATCGGAGATATATGAATATCGCGTAATCGAGTACCTGAAAAATTTAGTGACTTGGCGGAAGTTGTACGAGACAAAGCCGCGAACATTCTTTTCATACCACAGTAGCTTTGGTAATGATAACTTCTGCCGAGGGCTTAATGCCACAGTAAAACGACGCGTTTTTCCACTATTCATGTAGTTCAAATCAATTATTTGAAGGTAATAATAATAATAATAATGGTTTGTGGAGGAGAGAGCTCGCATAAACGAGTACTTAATGGACATTTGAAGGCGCATCCCTTTGAATGAAATATATACGTAAAAGACATTTCGTAGATAACGCTAGGGCATTTTTGTTCATGGATAAGCTATACACGCATACAGTTACGCATGAAGAGCTGTTGAAAAGCGGTTAAATCCGTGGAGAGTCATAGAATACGTCATGTACCGTGTTACATAAGCTGAAAGGATCGCAGTGCAACTTTTGAGTTAACATGAGCTAAGTGCTCGGGTGTTAATTGATGAATTAATTACTTTGTTATTTAAATTCTTTTTGCATATGCGGTTGAGGTCAATCGAGTGTTCGGTGCACTTTGTAAGAATTTAAGAAGAAGAAAGAAAATTAATATTGTTTTTTTTACTTCGACATACAGTGTCGCGGCACACACATGTTTTCGTAATATTCAATCATTTCGTAAACATTACGAACAATCATATTATATGTGTATTTGTATAATATATTTGCCGTTTGTTTTTCACGTCTACAAGTGCGTTTAGTCAACGAAGAGCCGACATTACATAGTCTAATCGTTAATTAGCGTATTATTATTATTATAGTTTAAATGGTTAATATTATTCGATTGTTGTTTGCATATAGAAGAGGAATTTATCTGTAAATTTTATTAACGTATGTTTAAGGTTGTGTCCGTCGAAGCTTATCTTTTAGCTTTTTTTTTTCTTGTGTCATTTGTCTTTCTTGTTCATGACACAATCGCGGAGAGCTTTAAAAGCCGGTGAAAGCAAAAATTATCTTTTGTTTCCTTTTGCGATTCTATTCACAATAGCCGTCTATTCAAAGAGCAAAATTATTCTTTCGTACGAAATGTTTTGGGAGACCTTTCAATGTTTAAGATTGAAGAAAACGAAGTATTGTAAAAACACAAAGTCAACGTAATGAGATATCATGTACATTGCACGTTATTTTAAATAGCGTTTGAGCGATAAAAAAAAAAAGTACTCAACGTTAGTTGGGACATTGCGAAAAGACTTCTCTCTATATACAAACTGAAAATACGTTCAATTTTTTTTTTCTTTTTGGATGGGAAAATTCTTTGAGATGTCAGTGTTTTAAGTATTTATATGGTTAAAATGCTAAGTTCGTTGGGGGTGGGGTGGGGGGGGGTAAATTTTTGTATTACATCAATATCGATATTATGCCAAATATTTGATGAAAATATCGAAACAGTTTCTCTTCACACACCGAGGCTGTATAAATTAACGAATGGAAATATTTTCTTTTTGTTGGATGTGATGGCGCGCGTCTAAGTAAATAATCGTCCATTTTCCCAGTATTTTTAACGCGATTACTCCTTTCAATTTGATATTCTGGATATTGCTTTTCCGTATCCCGAAAATATGAGGGCGCGAGCGGCAATTCAGTCGAAGAAAACACCACGATGCCGGGGATTATCCATCGAAAGGACTCCTTGCTCCATCGGATGATGCTTAAGAATAAAAAAAAAACAAAAAAAAAAAATTGAAAAATTGGTGCTACGCGAGAGCGCACTGGAGAATACTTTTTGTATACGTGTCTTCGATAAATAATGATAAAATGACAAAATAGCGCGAGACTCGATGCCCAGGGGCGATTATTTCTGTCTGTGAGTTTCGTGTACTTAATGATACGGGGCGGGTGGGAAGAGGGGGCGGGGTGCACGGAGTCATCGAGCGTTTCCATTTTATGGCGTTGGAGCGCGACGAAGGGACACGGCGAGTTCGAGTTGCGCCCGAATGAAGGAGTCTCACTTAGGATGACGACCTTTTTTATCAATTTGCTTTTGTACGATATGGTACAATTAGAGACGAGGCGGTTAGTCTTTGATAATATATAATCACGTATACCGAAATTCCACGAATCTTAGATAACACTCGTAATAATAATTCGTAATTTATTTTTGCGCTTGGTACTTTACTATAAAGGGGATCCAACGTTGAATTTTTACAACGATTAATTAATATTAGTAACGGTGCGTCATTTCCATGAGATTATTAGGACGCATTTTAAGCATAAGCACATAATTCTAACGAATTTAACATAATCAAATTAATTTCTTAATCCTTGTATAATCGAGTTTATCTTCTAACTAATAAAATTATTCATATAAGAAGGCGAGTTTAAAAGTAGAAAGAAAAATAAAACGTAAAGAATATTAGAATAACGAGCTTTTATGATTAACGATGTAATAAAGGCGAGAAAAAGGATTTATAAGATAAACGAACTCGCGTCGGCGAAGAATGCCCGAGGTTCCCGATATTTTTGCAATCGATGAAAAATCTTTACAATATTAATCGCTGGATAGTCCGAGAAAACTACGACGGATTTTTCGACCGATCCCTTCGTCCGCCTACACAGAGAAACTATTAATCGAATAACAAAGCAGCCACGCGCGCAATAAGCAAATATCGCAAAAATATAGAACAACGAGGGACTTAATAAGGCGATAATTTCAATAAAGCCCTCGAAATTTAGATGGGCTGTGCTATGAAGTCAGGATATTTTAGGATCGGTTTCTTATAAAGATTTTAAAAGCTATTGGAACAGAGTGAGAGAGTGATAGTTAGAGTGAGAGTGAGAGTGAGATAGAGAGAGATAATTAATTACAACTTATTATCATAGGTGCAAATATTACATTAAACGTTAGGTCGATCGAATATTGTTATCGTTTATCCACTTGGCGAGTATTTATCCATTCAGGAAATTTTTAAGGGAGGATTTTAATGGAGCGACGAGAGAGAATGAAAAATATAACGTGAAAATGTGCTCCTTATTAATTAAAAATATACGTAAGAAAATTAAGGCTAAGGTTCTTTGCGTAGGTTTGTGCGTGTGAGTATTTTATGTGAGAACGAGCGCTGTGAGGTAAGATACTATGAACGGCGGCAGTGAGTTAGAAAAAGAGATTAAAATATGAGATAGATACAAAAAAATAAATACAATGAAAAAAATTTTTTGCGCCAAAATACGCGCGTACGCGCGCGCGACGATAAAAAAATTACAAGACGAGCGATTTGGCCGAGGGCTTCGCGTTCCTGTTGGTTTAAGAAAAGATAATTTATATTGTGATAAATCCATGGTGATCCAAGAAAGTATTTCCGATGCTTGTTCCGGCCATCGTGAGGCCGCGACGCCGAGGACGACGAATTGCGAGATAAGACGGGAAGAAAGAGAATGAGAGAGAGAGAGAAAAAAATGTGGATCGGGCGGTCGTCTGAAGTATGGGGTTGAACTCTCTATAACAGGCTGAACGAATTCGGCGTTGCGCTACTCGTGTTTACCCTGTTTTTACCGCTTACGAATATCAAGATGAATCTATAACGATTTGTTTCCGTTGCCCGCTGTACGAAAAATGGGAATGCGATTAAAATAATTTATTTAAGACATTTTTATCGTAACTTTTATGCTGCTTTGCAATGTTTATAACATTATCGTGTATTAATATATATATATATATAT